CAGTGACATCCCCAGTTTGCTCAGTGGCATCCCCAGTTTGCTCAGTGGCATCCTCAGTTTGCTCAGTGACATCCCCAGTTTACTCAGTGACATCGCCAGTTTGCTCAGTGACATCCCCAGTTTGCTCAGTGGCATCCCCAGTTTGTTCGGTGGCATCCCCAGTTTGCTCGGTGACATCCCCAGTTTGCTCAGTGACATCCTCAGTTTGCTCAGTGGCATCCCCAGTTTGTTCAGTGGCATCCCCGGTTTGCTCAGTGGCATCCCCAGTTTGTTCAGTGGCATCCCCGGTTTGCTCAGTGGCATCCCCAGTTTGCTCAGTGGCATCCCCAGTTTACTCAGTGGCATCCCCAGTTTGCTCAGTGAGCATCCCTCAGTTTGCTCAGTGGCATCCCCAGTTTACTCAGTGACATCCCCAGTTTGCTCAGTGGCATCCCCAGTTTGCTCAGTGGCATCCCCAGTTTGCTCAGTGACATCCTCAGTTTGCTCAGTGGCACCCCCAGTTTACTTAGTGACATCCCCAGTTTGCTCAGTGGCATCCCCAGTTTACTCAGTGACATCGCCAGTTTGCTCGGTGACAACCCCAGTTTGCTCGGTGACATCCCCAGTTTGCTCAGTGGCATCCCCAGTTTGCTCAGTGACATCCCCAGTTTGCTCAGTGGCATCCCCAGTTTACTCAGTGACATCCCCAGTTTGCTCAGTGGCATCCCCAGTTTGCTCGGTGACAACCCCAGTTTACTCAGTGACATCCCCAGTTTGCTCAGTGGCATCCCCAGTTTACTCAGTGACATCCCCAGTTTGCTCAGTGGCATCCCCAGTTTGCTCGGTGACATCCCCAGTTTGCTCAGTGACATCCCCAGTTTGCTCAGTGACATCCCCAGTTTACTCAGTGACATACCCAGTTTGCTCAGTGGCATCCCCAGTTTGCTCAGTGGCATCCCCAGTTTGTTCAGTGGCATCCCCAGTTTGCTCGGTGACATCCCCAGTTTGCTCAGTGGCATCCCCAGTTTACTCAGTGGCATCCCCAGTTTGTTCAGTGGCATCCCCAGTTTGCTCTGTGACATCCCCAGTTTGCTCAGTGGCATCCCCAGTTTGCTCAGTGACATCCCCAGTTTGCTCAGTGGCATCCCCAGTTTACTCAGTGACATCCCCAGTTTGCTCGGTGACATCCCCAGTTTGCTCAGTGACATCCCCAGTTTGCTCAGTGACATCCTCAGTTTGCTCAGTGGCATCCCCAGTTTGCTCAGTGGCATCCCCAGTTTGCTCAGTGACATCCCCAGTTTGCTCAGTGACATCCCCAGTTTGCTCAGTGACATCCCCAGTTTGCTCAGTGACATCCTCAGTTTGCTCTGTGACATCCCCAGTTTGTTCAGTGGCATCCCCAGTTTGCTCAGTGACATCCCCAGTTTGCTCAGTGACATCCCCAGTTTGCTCAGTGACATCCTCAGTTTGCTCAGTGGCATCCCCAGTTTGCTCAGTGGCATCCCCAGTTTGCTCAGTGGCATCCCCAGTTTGTTCAGTGACATCCCCAGTTTGCTCGTGACATCCCCAGTTTGCTCAGTGGCATCTCCATTATGCTCACTGGCATCCTCAGTTTGTTCCCTTGTTTGCTCACTGACATCCCCAGTTTGCTCATGCAATGACATTCCCAGCATTGATGAGGGGAGGCAAGGGGGTTAGCTGGTACGGTTTTACGGAATATAAAGAGCTTTTCACAATTTACGAAGAAAAAAAAGACGTTTTTACAGTTTACAGTGTTAACAAATGGAACATTGAATGGCCCGAAGAGCTCTCTGACTCAAATTCTCCGCCATTGCTGCGCCGTGTGAAGAGACGCATGCGCATATTACCCTCATAATGCTCTTCATTCGGTTAGAGGGCCTTTTACGTCTTGACATTCAATTTTGTAGTGAATTGTG